CATATTAACTTCATTTGCGTCAGTGACAATTGATTACCTAAACTTTAACCTAAAATATGTAACTCTGGAATCCAAATGAAGATATAAGAAAAGTCGATCAAAAATCAATCAATGAATGTAAGTTCTACTTGCTCCAAAATGTTTGATTTTCTACATAAAAAATAGAGCATGTCAAGTTGCTTATATTGGGGGTTAATTTTTGAATTCTTGGTGACTGCGATTAAAATCTTATTACAGAGAGAGGAGGAGGTGGAAGCAAATGATATTTCGAAGGTTTGCATGAGATTGGATAATATGGGGGAAAAAAGATCAAGCCACGTCCTCACTTTTAATCCTACGTGTAAAACCACAACTCATTTAACCGCAGTAACCCCAGTAAAAACAATATATAAATAAAAAGAGAGCAGTAATTGAACGTGGTGAAGCCTAGGAAACCTCACAACGTGTCCAGATCAGAATGGGTCAGAACACAAAAATCTCCAATCAAGAAAAAAGTAGTTTGACTTTTATGAATTTAAAGCACCGGTCGTCGACCATTAAGATTGTCCTTTGGTAGCCCAAAACGCATTCAAACACTCCACTAAACGACAAACCCATCGTATTTGGTACCACTTTTTTCTCGTCCGACAACACCACCCAAAAACTCGACAGGTGGACTGTAATAACCTCCGTGTCTGTAATTAGAAGCTTGAACAACAAGTCATGGCCAGCTCAGGTTAATCCCCTGCTTGCCACTAATTAATCTCAATTAAACATCTAATTTTTTAATTGATCACTTTTCTCAGTTTCTCTCTCTCCTGAAAAGTCAGTGAGAAAAGCAGAGGAAAGTCTTTGGCTTCAGACTCTATCTCTCTCTCTCTCTCCGTCTCTCACACAAGTCACAAGCTTATTCTATTTCTTCTCCTTATTCACAGAATCTTAATCTCACTCTGTTCTTGGGAGGCTTTACAAAACCCTGCCTTTTCTGTTCTGTGTTCTATTTAGACGAAAGCTCAATCGGGTTGTTTTGAGAGTAGTGAAGTAGCTAAGAAATAGCTACAAGTTAGCTGAGTTTTTTTGATTTTGAACGTTTTAGATCAAATTTTGACTGTTGGATCAGAGTATCTTTATGGGTAGTTGTAATTTGGGGGGTTTTTTCTATTAATCTCTGGGTTGAGTGAGAAGCTTTTATTTTACTCTTTTGGGTTTAATCATTGTGTTTCTGGGGTAATGTATACTTTGGTCAGAGATCCATCAGACAGAGCTGGTAGGTGGGCATAGAGGAAAAAAAAGGGGGGCACCTTGACTGGTAGATGGGAGAAAGAGATGAGACTGAACCCTAGAAAATGAAAACTTTGTACCTACAAGGCTTCTTTGGAGTTCTAAGATGAAAACCCAATAGTAGATTTTTTGCTTTTTGTCCTGTAGATTGAGTTAAAAAAAAAGGAAAACACAAGAGAGAAATTCTTAGTTCTGATGCCGACCGACCTAGATAATTCCTCTACAGCTTCAGGTGAAGCTAGCGTTTCTTCCTCTGGCAACCAAACTGCTCCTCCCAAACCCACCACCAAGAAAAAACGTAACTTGCCAGGAATGCCAGGTAGCTCAAAAAGAAAATTCCCCAAATTTGTTTTTTACGCTGATGTTCATAATCTTTGTCTGATTTGGTGAAATTTGACTTTTGGGTTTTGTTACAGATCCAGATGCAGAGGTGATTGCTCTGTCTCCCAAGACCCTATTGGCCACAAACCGTTTCGTTTGTGAAATTTGCAACAAAGGGTTTCAGAGGGATCAGAATCTGCAGCTTCATAGGCGTGGTCACAATCTGCCATGGAAGCTGAGGCAGAGGTCGAGTAAAGAGGTGAAGAAGAGAGTCTATGTCTGCCCAGAGCCCTCTTGTGTGCACCATGACCCATCAAGAGCTTTGGGTGATCTCACTGGGATAAAGAAGCACTTTTGCAGAAAGCACGGCGAGAAGAAGTGGAAATGCGATAAGTGTTCCAAGAAATATGCGGTCCAGTCGGATTGGAAAGCCCATTCCAAGATTTGTGGTACCAGAGAGTACAAATGCGATTGTGGGACTTTGTTTTCAAGGTTCATAAAAAGCTTTGATTTTTATCTTAGAAATTTTATGTTTTTGAGCTTAACTTGTTGGGTTTTAAGTTGGTAAAGTAGTTGTGTTTTTGGTCTTTGAAGGAGGGATAGCTTCATAACACATAGGGCCTTCTGTGATGCTTTGGCTGAGGAGAGCGCCAGAGGCCATACCCAAACTCCAACTCAGACTCAAACAGAGGTGAATTTGAATTCAGAATCAGACCCAAAAGCTCAAAATGCTAATTCACCTCCACAGCCACCACCACAGGCACCAGTTCCTTCCCAAGCTACAACTTCATCAGTCCCATCTCAGTCAGCTGGTTTATTATCTTCACCTATGCCTACTACACAAAATCCAGGTAAATATGTCCCAAATTGGAAAATTGTCAATCTTTTCAGTTGGGTTTTGTCGGATGTGTTTTTAGTCTGAATAAACAACAAAACTTAGTTATCTTTGTTTTGTTTGTGTGTGTGTCTCTCTCTCATGCCATGGATCTTGGAGTGTAGTAGTTTTTGTCTGTTATGAAATTTGTTTTCAGCTGGTTATGTATCACAGAATGGTAACTGAACAGAGATTTTTGGAATTTAATTAACAACTGAATAAAAATAAGCTTCTTAGAGGTTAATATTAAAGTTTTAGTTTTCAAACTGCGTAATCTCAATAAAGAGACTAGTGATTCAAAAGCTAAAAGGGAAGAGTAAGTGGGTTAAGAGAAAGGAAACCATTATTGATCCTCCTTTTCCTTCAAAAGTCCTTCATAAAGAAAGGCCTAACTTTCTATTCCTGTATGTTCTGTGTGTTTAAGTGTGACCCCTTTAATTTTTTTTATCTTTTCTCCTTTGGTTGTAGTGACAGAATTGCCTGAAAATCCCACACAAACTATGGAAGAAGCACCAGCTGTGACTGGTCCAAAGGGGAACTGTAGCAGCAGCAACAGCTCAAGTAGCAATGGTAGTACAAGCAGTAGTGTTTTTGCAAGTTTATTTGCTTCCTCAACAGCATCAGCAAGCTTGCAACCTCTTCAACCTCCTGCATATACTGACTTAATTCGAGCCATGGGGAATCCAGATAGAACAACTGACTTAGCACCATCTTCTTCAGTAGAACCTATCTCTCTTGGCCTCTCAACCAGCCATGGATCCTCACTTTTTGGGCCTGCAGGACAGGAGCGTAGGCAATATGCGCCTCCACCACAACCAGCTATGTCAGCTACAGCACTGCTTCAGAAAGCTGCTCAAATGGGAGCAGCAGCAACTAATGCATCGTTGCTTCGTGGGTTTGGCATTATGTCTTCCTCATCAGCTTCTGCGCAACAAGAGAATTTGCAATGGAGTCAGCGGCAAGCAGAACCAGATAGTGCCTCAGTTGCTGCAGGGCTTGGACTTGCTCTTCCTTGTGATGGAGGTTCAGGATGGAAGGAACTAATGATGGGAAGTCCTTCCATGTTCGGGCCTAAGCAAACCACACTCGATCTTTTGGGATTAGGAATGGCCGCTGGTAATAGCCCCAGTGGAGGCTTGTCAGCCCTAATTACATCTATCGGTGGAGGTCTCGATGTAGCCGCTGCAGCTGCATCCTTTGGAGGCGGGGAATATAGTGGTAAAGACTTGGCAAGGAGCACATGAAATGGAATATTGAAGAAGTCATTTTGTTCCATTTGACTTAGAGGAAGGGGTGTACAAGGTGCAGGCTCATCTGGAGTATGGAAAGTAGATGTTGCAGAGTGAAGTAAGACATACATAAAAATAAAATAAAAGATTAGCCCTCATGGCATAGAGGTAAGCATCAGAACACAGGCAGTTGGGTCTTTTTTATTGTTCTGCTGCCTTGGTGACTAGGGCGAAAATGACTTTGTCTGGCTGGTGTAGACTTTTGTGAAAGCTAAAACCAGAGAACCTTTCTTCCCTCTGTTTGTTTAACTTGGGAATTTCAGCATACGTGAAGTGTAAGCTAGAAAAAGGGGAGGAAACATGTATGTCAGTTTGTGTTAGCTTAAGGTGATTTGGTGAATGAATATGTATACCTACTGCATCCATTCTTTAATTTTGTCAAGTTTCTCAAGCCAAGCCTAGTGATAAAGTCTCAGTGGATGAGTTTTACCAATTGGGTTTGCAAAACTAGGCCGAAGTTTTTCGTTGTAGCAATTTGTAGTGGCCAGGTAGCGGTAGATGGATGTAGTTTGGGGCTGATCTTGTAAATTACTGTTTGAGTAGGCTGTAGTTTTAGGGCTCCTGGACTTGGTCAAACCCTCCAATTTCCATCACTTTGTATGTACAATTAAATCAAGATTAAATTATTATATTCTAGTTATATTTAAGAAATTTTATTTTTGTTGGCATGTTGGTTTCTGTTGGTAAAGGGCACCTAAATATAAAAGATGCAATGGATTTAGTAACTTTAGAAATTAAATCAAAGTTGATGTTTCAACAGAAGACATCCTCCTCCTGCATTTCTTCCAAGCCCAAGTCTTCAACCGAAGTGCAAATTCTTGGAGAGAAGTGAAAGACTCCATCATTTGAAGCCTCGTCTGTTACCAAATGAAAGAACATTGCTTTTTTTAATCTTATGTTGTAAAAAATACATATGTTACGAAATGAAAAAAAAAACAAAACGAAAAACAAAACTCAGGCTTCAAAAATATAATTAGCTAATTAGCTAGCTATATCACTATAGCTTTGGCACTCTGGGGTACATGTGTCCTAGGCTTGTCGGAACCTCTAGGAACGATGGGTACGGAATTCTGAGGTCGTGGACCCCACGGGGTCCCAAGTTGACTTTTTGGGACTTTATCGCTTTTGAGTCCCTAGGTGCTTTTAAATTGTACCCAGCAAGAGGAAAGCTAAAGTGGGCATAGGGTCAGGGTTTTTATTTTAATATTATATTATTGAGTTGAGTTATTAATAAAATATTATGATGGTAATACAGGCACCCGGGCACCAGGTGACCCGCAGGACGGACCTTCAAAGGGTCTAGCTTGCTCAGAGTATCTGTGAGTGGACTTTTTGTTTTATAAATGGTTTATGCAATTTATTTTCATTATTTGATCTTGAATAAGTTTTATTCAACTATTAGAGCTGCATAGTTTTAACTTGCGCTTTTAAATACTTTAACTCATTTGCTGCCGAGTGGGATATCCGTAAAGGATATAGGAAAAAGGAAATTCTAATTAAATATTAGGATAAATGACGGCAGAGTTTTAAGTTAAACAAGAATTCTTATATTTATTAATTTTTTTTAGAATTTCATATATATATATTTTTTAGAAACCACCATAGGTACCCAAGAGTAATTAAGGTTGCCTTCGATAAACATGTTGCCTTCGGATTTAAATGGTTGCCTTCGGTTATAACGATGTCTACGGACATCCAGTTGCCTTCGGTTATAATGATGTCGACGGACATCCAGTTGCCTTCGGGTAGGTCAGCATGCTTGACACAGCCCCACGAGTCTCGGGGACGCTCGAACCGTGTGGTGCTAGGATTGCGGATCAGACCGACCAAGTGTCCCCTGAATTCTGCGAGGATTGCGGATCAGGCCGACCCAGCGTCCCCTGAATTCTGCTAGGATTGCGGATCAGGCTGACCAAGTGTCCCCTGAGTTCTGCTAGGATTGCGGCTTGGGTGACTTTGTGTTTCCCGAGGTCTGCTAGGACGTGTCACTCCGGTGGCACAAGGATGGAATTGACGGATTATATGGAATTGACGGATTATAAGGAATTGACGGAAACTAAAGGAATTGACGAAATTATAAATGGGTACACCTAGGTGGTAGATTATAGTTGATTTCAATGCTTTTAAGATTTCATGTTTGATTAAGTATTTGAATGATTCTATAGTTATAAATATGAATGCATTGATTTCAGTATGAATATAGATAAAAGAAATGATTTAGATTTTATAACAGTTTTTACAGTGGGGTTAGTATGTTCGTATACTATTTTTTCTAAACCTTATTTTTGGTCCACTCACCCTTTTTAATGTTTTGCGCCCCCAGGCAGTAAGCGTGCACAGTGAGCCACCACCGGGCCGAGTCCATCTTCCGCTACATCCCTTGACAACGTAGGGTCTTGTATAATTATTTTATACTTGTAATCTAATCTGTGTAGAGCTCCGATATTGCCCTAGTATACTTGTCTAACTGTTAGTATGTAAATTTTTGTATGCTGGCAGTTGGTGTATATTCTTATACATGTTTGACAGGTGTAATCTTGGGATTGGTCTAATTGTAGGGGAGACTATGCTGAGTTTTTCGGCAAAAGTCAAACCCCAGTTTTAGTTGAATTTTGACTAGAAGGGCAATTAGGTCTTTTGTGCTCGGCACTTGCCAGGTGTCGGACACGAACAGGGTCCGGCTCGGATTCCAAAGTGGAATTTAGGTCGGGTCCTGTCACAAATGCACTTATCTCTCCCTTATGAAATTCCTTGGCAAGGTTTCTTACACATTGTACTTTGACTGTCATTGGACTTAAATTTGCATCTTCCAAGTGGAACACTATCACTTTTGCATAGCTATGTAGCACCAATGCACACCATTCTTGGTGATGAGTATCTATGTGTATATTAAATCTTTCACCATTCTTTACCCCAAACCAAATGCCATTGTATCCAAGCATTTCAACAATCCTCCACATCTCTAACATAGACATATAATACTCTACACACAAATCCAAGTACGACATAGACCCCTCCACATAATAAAGCTACTTATTTTGTTCAGAACAGACTAGTGTACCTTTGTGATGCACTTCAAATGTGACAAGCCCTTTGTCATATGCATAACCAAACATAATAAAGACAATTTATTCATTTCTCACTAACACAGTACAATATAAAACTCTGTTAACAATGACAACACAAAAAGGCCTCAAACTTGTTTTCAGTTTTAGGGTTGTTTCGGTTTGAAACTTTGTATTTGGGCCTTGCTTATATTAAAACTATGTTTTGTATTCTTTTGGGCCTATATTTTATGCTTCTACCTATGCTATTCAACATTCAAACTCTTGTAATGTTTTTGCATATTTAATGAATGAAGTTTGCCTTTACCCAAAAAAAGAAAAAAAGAAAAAAAGAAAAAAAGAAAAAAAGAAAAAAAGAAAAAAAGAAAAAAAGAAAAAAAAGAAACTTGAGTTGTATTGTATCAAAATATGCTTGAAGTGTTTGGTGCTATCTCATATTAGTGCTAGGGTTTGATTAGAGATTATGTTGGGCATTGACATATTGGAAGTTAATTTGGGGCATGATCAGATGGCAGAGATACATTGCCTAATAACTAAAGAAGTCATTCAAAAGGCTCAGTACTTCAACAACAACAAATCAAGATTGTTAATGGAGTTTGAGGAGATTAAAGTCCTTGGTTAGTACCTTTTGTTATTTTATATATCTATTTACTGATATCTGTTTTTTTCTTTTCGGTGCCAAAATAATATGTTTTGATCTTTGTAGGTGAAGGAGCATTCGAGGTGGTAGTTTCATCCAAGAACCGGAGACGCATGCAGTGAAGAAAGTGAGATTGGTCGATTTCCTGATTTCGATTATAATCAGGTTATAAGGTAAGTAATTGAACCTTTTTACTCTACTTTCCTCACCTTGTTTGCAAATAGTCGGTTTATCTAGATTTTATAAAATAAAGAACCTGCACGAATCACAACATAAGTAATAGGAAATGCAATGAAGAGTTAGCTTTGAGGAGGAAAAAAAAAGTTTGAGCATAGGAAATTAAGGTATGAGACATTATACAACCTAAGAATGAGGAAGACTTTCAGTATTGTCTTTGCGAAAGCAAATGATGTAATAATAGAAACGTTGTTGAGACTGCACTCGTATGTTACCTATGGGTATGGGGTTGAACATCCTTATTTTTTTTCTAAATATTAACTGAACTTTCATGTCAAATCCAAGGACCAAAATGTTTTTTTTCCTTCAATTCTTTTTTATACTAATGTGACCATTTACGTACATGGAGGTAGAGATCATAGCTCTACTGGAACATGATAACATCGTACAATACCACATGGTATTTTGCATACTACTTGTAATTATAAGAGTAAAAACTTACTATATGTAATTGTTAGCTTTTTTTTATTTTTTGATCAAAGTGAGATAACTTTATTGAAACAACAATGTCATAGTACAAATGAAAACTGGACCTTAGTAATGTAACAAATGTGGCCTCATTAAAACCTTGCCTTTAAAAACCCCCAAATAGGGGAAAATCCGGTCAAGGAAAAAGAGTACCACTACATCACATCCAATAGAAAATAATTAAGAAAATAATTTGTCACTGGCCAAAACATCAGAAATCCATAAAGAACCATCCTCTAACCACACTTTGAAATCCTGAGTCAGAAGTGCCTGCTTAGCCAATAGATGAGCAACCTGATTACATTCCCGAGGAGCAATTGACAGGAAATATGAGTAAAATAAGAGTAAAAACTTACTATATGTAATTGTTAACTTGAGTTAATTTTTGTTTGTTCATTTTTGTAATAATAAGAGTAAAAACTTTTTATATGTAATTGTTAAATTGAGTTAATTTTTGTTTGTTCTTTTTGTAATAATAAGAGTAAAAACTTATTATATGTAATTGTTAACTTGGGTTAGTTTTTTTTTGTTCATTTTTTAACTTAGTAGACTTTGCTTGAGCCAATTTTGGTTGGTATCAATATCGATATTGGTGATGATGTTTGGATGATGAGTCAGTTGGGAATAATTAATTCATACAATTATGAGGTGATTGGATTCAAGAGGGTCAAAAGCCAAGGCAACACAAAAAATTTTATGTTCATGTTCATATGGACGTGCTTAGGTATGTTGACATGTTGCGTGATGATGGGGTTAAATGATATATTGGAGAAAAACAATATTATGATAGATGATATGTGTTGGAGCACTTTTGCACACATTTTGATTGGTTTAACATACATACATACATACCCAATGAATTATGTATGGATATCTCTCTCCTCCTAATATTTTTAAGTATAGTGATATGTTTATGAGACTTCGGACTAGGTATGTTCATCCTATCTTAAAGTGCGTAGTTCATTTAGTGTTGTGGCATGATTAGGAACAATAATTAAATTAACTAAACAATGTTTGATTTTTATTTTTTTCCTTGCAGGCCGCAACGTGAATGATAATGGTAATATTATTTGAAGCATATAGAGAAATGAGATACAAAACACATAATGAAAGGGTGGATTGTGTTGTACATATCTACAATGCATATATTCTGCTGTTCGTGATGCTCTTACAAACAATACCCATCACCGGATTGGAAAAGGCAACATTAATTGTGGTGTTAAAGAATGATGAGGAGCTGTCAGAGGAGTAGAATCATTATCCACAACGGCATCTAATGTTGTAGCCTGTGTAGGAGACACCAGACTTGAGGCCTAGTGTAAATGATGTTCTGAGCCAAGTTGAAGCATTTTAATAGCCTCTTCCATTTGCTTTTTCACTATAATTGATAGCCTTGATGAAACTCTGAGTTATCTTCCTTAAAATCATAAACACACAAACTCAACCCCACCTTCTAATTTTCCTATTTTGATCATGATGATTGTTTCTATTTGTATTGTTACGATTGAAAGTTTATATTTAATGGACTATTTGTTGGATCAACTCTAGTTCTCTGTTTGTATTGTTACTATTGAAAATTTAGATTTGTTTGTGCTTTTTTTATGTGCTTTGGTAGTCTTATGTAAGTCATTGTTAGGTTAAGTCTAGTTATCTGTTGTATTGTTATCATTTGGAAGTTTTATTTGTTTGTTCTCGTAAGTCCACGTTCCTCCCTGCCTTAGAAATAACCTTAAAGATACAATCAGACAAATAATACTGAGAATACAGACTTGGGTGCCATTGATGGCATACAAAGGGGCAGTCTGAGTGCTGAGAGACCGTAGGTCGATGCTAAGTTGAGGGAGGGTTCAGATGAACATAATGTTGGTTGAACTTCCTCTGTTTAAGAATATCCTAGGGAAATGATGTCTAGCAATGTTGGCAGCAATGGTGAAGAGACGAGCATGCACATGCGGCCGATAGTCATTCTCAACTGGCGCATAATCTGATTTTGAGGGATCATCACTTGAGTTAATGGTGAAGGCTTCGTAAGTTGTAGACTTCATCTTCATGATAGTTATGTAACAGTTCTTACTAGATATCTGGTCACCTCAGATCGTACCCACACTATTTAGGGTACGAAATTTCATCAATAGGAGGTCTTCCAAGTGTAACATCATAGGTGGTCGGACAATTGACGACCACAAAATTCACCATAGTAGTTGTTGGGCGAGGATACTCTCCCATGATGAGTGTTAAGTGGTGTGCCATTGTGTTTGCACTTCACTGTCGGTAAAGGTGAATCGAGGTGGACTTCACTGTTCGTCTCCCCTTCTCATAACCCTAACTAAGCCAAGCGCAGCCATCACCTCCATCTTCTTCTCTACATCCATGGAGCGTGGTGATGTTGAGGGGTCGGAGGACGACCAGGGGCCGGAGAATGACCAGCATCCGGAGAACGACCAGGAGCTGGAGGACGACCAGCAGCCGGAGAACGACCAGCAGCCTCCTCCGCCCCAGGAGCCTTATCAGCCGTTGTTTATCAAAAACTTGTGGGAGTTCTTGAAAGTACCGTCGTCATCCGGTGTAAGATGGAACCCTGAGGGTACCGATGTTATTTTTGGCCTTAACACTGGTTCATACTTCAGGAATCACTATCCTAGCCTCAAGTATTGTAATGTTCCCCGTCAGCTTCAACAGTTCGGATTCTCTAAGATTGGTGGTGGTGCCGTTGGCCCTGGTGAGATGGCTTATAAGCATGATTTGTTTCGGCAAGCTTTACCCGAGCTCCGATTTGGGATCCGTCGGAAACAGACTAAGTCTGCCGCAACAGCTGCTTCCTCATCGGCAAGTGGCAGCGATGTTGAAATGTTGCTGAAAGCATTTTCTGAAATGGACAAGAGGCTGGATAAGCTAATCTCGCTTATTACAGGCAGGAATTTGCTTTCCACTCCACCGGACGAGCCACCATGTGACAGGGAAATTGGCAATCAGGAGCTGCTCCAGTTTCTTTGGCAGGCGATTGGTAAGCTCGACATAGCTATGTCTTTCTCGAGGAAGGAGTGAAGGCATAACCCTAACTTCCAAAGCCTTATTATGACCCTTTAAACTTCTGCGTTTCTTATTTTAGACTTTAGCAGTATAAGTTTGATATAAAGAGAGGAATGGTGTATAAATTTTGATAGTTTGTGTTTTGTGGAATTGTTTGGAAAATGCCAGGT